AAGAGGAGGGACCAGAGCTATGCCGGGACAGCCTATAAGGCGCGAGCTGGGCTCCTGGAGCAGCTGCCTCTCGCCCCAGATAGTGCATCTTCCAGGGATGCGGTGTTTGTAAAGCAGGAGGCGCGACCAGCACTAGGGATGAAGGAGGGCGGCAGAGGGGAACAGCATATTTAACTACAGAGCCCCAAACCCGTGCAGTCTCAGCCGAGCAGGCCTGCGGGGCCGGGGAGGCTGCTCCTGCTCTCCGGGTCTCCAAGCATTATCCACATACCCATGTGCACCTTGGCCCGGGGAGCTCCAGGGTGATGAGGGGCAGGGACAAAGCAGAGGACAGTGCTGGCATTCTGGTACACAGACACAGCCACCCACGGCCCTGCCCAGCCACCTCATCACCAGCAGAGACCTGCAAAGCCACAGTCAGTGGGAAATCTGACATGTCATTCTTCTCCCATCATCCACCCCACCACCACAGGCTCTTTAGAGTCAACACCATGACTGAGAGGCAGGAGAGGCTGGACACAGCCATGAAAGGAGAGGGGTGGCCCCCTGACCTGCAGATGTTGCTCCTCCACCTCATCACCAGAGTCCTCATCCCAGCTGTCTGCAATGAGGCAGGACTCAGCTGAGCAGAAGTTCAGATTTGCTACTGCACATCAACAAGGTGGTACTGGAACTGCCAGGTGCCAGCCCCGATGGGGCAGGAGAGCAGCCTCACTCCAGCTGCCCAAGCTCACCCATAGCCACAACAGCATTGTGGCTTTGCAAGAACTCACAAGAGAAGTTGAGTGTTCAAGCTTCAAAACTTTATTCAAGCAGACAGCAGGTAATCCAGAAACAGTTCAGCACCCCACAGCAGTCAGATGCCAGCACTGAGCAAGGCATCACAACATCCCAGTAGTCACACTTGTGCTGCCTAGCCAGGAGACAGGCTTTGTCTTTTGTCTCTCTCTGCCGGCTATAAAGCGCAAGATTACGTTTGACATCAAGATGCATGCAAACACTACAGTGAGAACTCCCAGACAGCAGCTCTGAGATGCCATCCAGAGAAATGTCACTAGGAAACAGTAACACACACACAGGGCTGTAGCAGGTAGTTAAGGAAGAGCAAGGAGCTGCACAAGCCTGGGCATCAGGCTTCCAGAGAGCCCAATGAAAATCCAGCCCTCCAAGCTGGTAAGTACAGAGCTCAGCAACTAGGCTGGGGGTCTTTCCTTGCCCATTCCTTCTGGAGGCCCAGGTCTTTGCTCCAGCTGAACAACGTCCTTGCCCTCAAGGACTACTGTTGGGGCTCAGGTCACTTGCTTGGGTTAGGTTTTAAATGCCAGGTCAAACTACAGAGTACAGGGCCGGCAACAGCCAGCCAGGGCTGTTTGGGAACAGGCAGCACAGCTTAGCAGGTGTCACACGTCAGCAGGGCTCAGCTTCGGGTCAGGGAGCAGAGTGGCACCATGAGAAAGGTGCCACCGATTTCTCCCCTCCACCCAGCACCCAAGAGGGGCAAGACTGGAATTTCCAGTGAGAACTGAAGAGCGAGCAGCTTCCCAGGCATGCACACCAGCACCCTCCCAGTGCCACAGCAGGCCAACCTCTCAAAGTGTTATGTGCACCCATCCAGAGCAGTGACCAGAGTCCTCCAGACAGCTGTCAGCCCCAAGCCCTACATTCATCTTTAATTCCTTAGGTCTTTGCAACTGATTTGAAGGAAGTTCACTACATCACAGAGCACACAGTCTAACTAACCTAGTTTTCACTAAACATTCAAGCACCACTCCCGTGACTGGAAATAGGAAGCCAATTCAAGACAGCACAGGTATTTGAAAAAGCCTATGGAGAAGGGAGAGTCTAAGGAAGTACATAACAGACTGAAACTGGTATCTGCATCACCACAGGAGAGTGAAAAAATAGGACTGCAGGAAATTAATCCATGTTAGATACTAACCATCAAGCTTCGCAGATGACATTGCATGATAAGCATAGAAAAATTATGGGAAACACTGTCCCCGATAATTACGTACACCCATAGTGCAACATATGGAGGTCACTGCCTCCGATATAACACTGTGGTAGGCAAAAACTACCTTGTTCTTTACACATTATGGAAGACACTGCCCCCGATAATGTCAGTTAGGTTTCATGATACATAAGGTACTGGAAGTTTGCAAGAAGTTGCCATTTAAAATTGAGCCAATGCCTAATCTGAGGTACAGGGAGTTTGTGTGTGTTGCTGCAGGTGGAACTAGGGCTACACAGTAATCCCCTCTGGTGGGGCTGGAGCCAGGAAGGATGCTGTGCTCTCCATGAGAGTACACAGCATCCCCAGCAGGGCAGCAGGAAGGAGCCTGAAGCCCACAGAGGGGCACAGACACATATGGCAAGGAAGCCAAATTTTTAGTATTTGAGGTTTCATCCAGGTTTTCAGCATTTCAAGGATTACTTTGGAGCACAACCTGGAGACTCACTACCAGGTTTACACCTTCGAGTTTCTTCCAGAGAGGTGTTTTTGCCACAGAAAGCTTACCTGCTAGTTTTTAAAAACTTTTTGAGGGGCCTGTTTTGACTATTTTAAATGCAAAGTTCCAGTATCATGTTTGATTGTAATAGCAGATGCTGCTTTATTCAAAAACGACAGTATAACTGTCATAATTATGGAAGGCACTGCTTCCGATAATTATCTTCTATAAAAAAACACACCATTTATAGTGAACACTGTCACTGATAAATAAATAAACAAATAAATATCTCAGTGCCAAACGAGAGCCATCCTGCAAAATGACCATCACTCAAACAGGGTCTGGCCAGCAAGAGACTCGATTTCACAAAAGGCCCCTGAGCAGTAAGGTCTGAAGTGCCAGTCCAGAGCCAATTCTCAACGCCACAGGACTCGCTGAGGTGCCACCTAAGGATATAACGGGGACATGGGATAATCTTTGGGTTGTTTTCCCTGGGTACTGATGCCTGGCAGAAGCAAGCCTCCAAGATGTCACTGGGACCCTGCTGTTGAGTAAAGGCAGGTCAGGCACTTCAGAGCTTGCTGATAATCCAGCACTTGCAGGCTATTACTACGTTGTTTAATTTCTGAACTGCGGATCTCTGCAGCTCCCTACCAGAGAAGGGATCTTCGTTACAAGCGTTCAGAGGAATCCATTCCCTGTTTAGTCACTAGGTTTAGGGGGCCAACAGTTAAAACCCGAAATACATGAGGTACCTCCCCACTCAAGGTACCAGTTCAGTAGACACGTGAGCTCTCAGGTCTCAAGTGCACTGGAGAGCAAGCCCTATAAACAGCTGTATGTGACTGGTTTGGACTGAAGTCAGGTGGGAGCCTGGTCAGAGGAGATTTCATGATAATCTTAGTACCTGCTATAAAACTGCCTTCTGTGAATTCGTCAAGGTGAGATTTAAATTTTTTTGCTTGACTTTGGTCAAAAAAAGTGTTGTTGCCAGAAAATCTACAGAAAAATAATGTCATGTTAGGGAGAGGGTTTCCCTAATCCTGTACCTTAACCAGGTGTTTGCTGTGTCTAGAATTCGTTGTCTATATTCCAGATATCACCTGCTAAAGCATTGGCAGCCCCTTTAATGGTCCAGGTTGCCAGGGCCATCTGCTCTTTCAGCATGTTCACATCCACGCTGCCCTTGCTGTCTTTCAGCTGCTGCAGGTTCTCCAGCAGACTCTGCAGGGTGTGAGAGCCTTTGCCAAAGAAGATGTGACGAAAGGGAGCATCTTTTGGTGAGAGGTACGGGGAGAGGAAGTCATACTCCACCTGAGTAGAGGTGCAAATTTAGGGTTATACTCTCACCTCCCAAGTTTCTCTTTCCTAATCTGCCCCAATATAAGTTCCCAATCTCTGATCCCCACTCAGCCCTTTCCCACAGTAGCTCTGCAAGAGTCAGACCCTCTCTCAAGTGCAAAACTCAGTCATGCTGACACTTAGCAAGTGGAAGAGACACCACTCTGCACAATGCCTGTGGCCCCTTGGGCAACGGCCCATCCCAGCCAGCACTCCTTCAAGAAGAAAGAAAAACCTGTTGTAGATACCCACCTTCATGATCCTGTCATTCAGGGCTCTGAGGATGAGCCTGTTTTCCCTGTCAGTGTTTGCAATGTCTCTTCTCAGTGCATTTACAGCTCGCTGGAAATCACCACGGGCAAAAAACAGCCAGTCCAGGGTCAGCCCCAGCTCCTGTGAGGGAGGAGCTGTTAGCAAACCTGATTTTCTTCTTTTGCTGCTCTCTTACCAAAAGAAGTGTTGGGTTTTGGGTTTTTTTTTGCAGTTTAACCAAGTAGCAGAGCGAGTTCCTGGCAGGCCCTTCTGAGGTCACTCCCCACCCACAGTTTCTTGTAGGCTTTGCTGAAAGGTGCAAATACAATGCAAAGCTGCACTGTGCTGTGAATGACAACTAGAGGAGAAACCATACACATGTACTTCCTCAAGAGCTCACCACAGCCAGATTAGCTAAATCTGTCTGACTCAGCTGCTCTGCCTGCACTGCTCCACAAAGAACATCGATTCTGGTCACACTTTGCTACACTCCTATGCCCAAAAGGGGAAGATGTCCACCCTGCTGTGTCCGCTGGCACAGTCTACAGGGATTCGGTGAACTCGGAGTCCTTCTTACCTTTGCATCCTGCCTGTAGGTGAAAAACTTCTCCTGGAACGACAGCAATTCATCAGTGTATCTCTCCAAGTCCAGGAAGAGCTCATGATCGTGGGTCAGTCTGAGAGCTATTTGTCCAGCAACATCTGCAGCAGCACGCATAAGATCATACAACTTGTCTGTCTTCTTCAGGTTCATCAATGTGTCCTCAGTAGTGCTCAAGAAGGGATATTCCTCATCTTTCTGCAAGAAAGGAGGAGTTGAAATTAGGCAAAAGTGCTTCTCCAGCTAGGGATTTTCATCCCCCACCACAGGCTGCTTGCTACTTCTACCACATCCCATCTTCAGTGCTGCAAAGTAGTGAGACTTAAGTGGCAAAACTTGAAAGCACAGTGAAGGGAATGGGGCTCCTGCATCTCATCTCTCACAGTTTCCAGCAATCAGCAGGATGTTCTGGTAGTTTTCAGACCAGAAGACATACAGTCCTTTACCCCCTCAGAGTTCACTGCAGAAGTGCAGGTGAGCAAATCCCACCACCTAGTCTGGTATGCGCTGGCAGCACCCTCCAATCCTTCTTGGTCAGGATAATTCACTATTTTTGTGAAACAAAACTGACACTGACAAAACCCAAGCATTCATAAAAGAGGGAGCTGCTATCAGAAAGGCTCCCAGCTACATGCCTGCAGGAACAGGGCAGGCTCCTGGGCTGATGTCAGCCCCAAACTGCAGAAGCAGACCTGAACAGTCTGAGTTGGTACTTGCTCTGGCCAACAGTATTTCTCCCCCAATGCCCTCTGCTTGCTGATCAGAAGGTGGAAGCAGCAGTAGCCTGACATACTTTTAGTGCTCCTAGCTTCTGAATCATTGCCAAGTGCCCCCTTCTTCTGAAAAACCACAAGCATTCAGGACTCTGGAAGAAGAGATTATAGGCCAGCCTTGCTCCAGGAGCAACCTTCATAGAAAGTACTGCCACAGCCACCAGGCCCAGAGGCTGCACTTCTTCCTCCTGAGACGCACTTGCATGGACAATGAGCTTGGTACAGCACTTCGTGCTCTGCTATCCTGAAAAGCAGGTATCATTAGAGCACTCTGCATGGAATGAATACAAGAGGCAGGCACAGAATACTTACATTGTAGAAACCAAAGGAAACCACTGGGATCCCTGAGTAGGTCAGGAAAGGGAATGCTGCATTGTCCAAACCAAGGGGAACGCTGCAGAAGATAAGCATTGAGTAGTTACCAACTAGTTTGGGCATCCCGGGAGAAAAACCACAAGCCCTACAGTTGAAGCTCTGAACCAACTGGACTACCCTGTCTAGACAAGACTGAAGGAGTCCCAGCCAAATCCCAAGGGCTGCTTGTCTGTTTCTGGCCACTGGACTTGGTACAAGGCTGTTCTGTCTCTACAAAAAGGTGTCTGGGCTGCTCACAGGCAGTTTGGAGCAGCACACCTAGTGCTGTAGTGTTCACACTTGCCTAACCCCATGGCAGAAGGTAGAGCCCACCCCAGACAGCAGTATGACACTCCATCACAAAGAGCATGAGCCATGTAGTTTGCTCCTTTATGGAGATCTGCTTTCCCAAAGAGATGAATGACAATACTTACACTGTATTTACCCAGTCAGCACCAACTCTGTCGTATAGGGTTCCCAAATTCTTTGTTGGGTCCTTCACCTGCAAAAAGATGACAGTCAGTGCACTTGCTTTAACCCTTGCTTAGGCTTCCAGGTCCATCCTGGAGCTTGCATTGCTGTGCAGATTCCACAGCCAGGTGTGCTCCCCTGACCTTTCTCCACACAGGTACGGTTCATGTGGGACAGACATTCACCTCCCACTGAACTGTGGCAATTGCTGATTTTAGATTCTACATGTGTTAACTGCAATTCCCAGAGCCCAGCTGATTTCAGACAGAGTATCTTAGCTTTTTCTCCAAAATGGGGCTTTCTCCTCAGAAAGTGTCAGCTGGGGAAAGTGACCCAGCACAGCCCTGTCTGCTTTCGGTTTCACAGTCACCCTGATAAGCCCAAGGCCCCTCAACTCACCCCCTTCAGAGTTTTCTCCAGCAATGTGTACAGCAACGGGCTAGCAGAAATCTTCATGTGCTTAGAGCCTGCAAAAAAATGAAAGTGTTTGACATGCTGTCACAAACAACTACTACAGCTACAGCTGCTCTGCCCTGATCTACAGCTTGTTGCCAAAGGATCTTCAACAGACACAGAACAGTCTACTGGGACCTAGCAGAGCTGACTCCTCATGGCATAGGCTGCAGCAGCCTGCCAGCTTCAAAGACAGTAGGAGAATAAATGGAATCATGTCTGTCTCCAGCCAAACACCTGCCATCAGTCTCTGGCACAGCCCCCATTCCTAGAGGTTAAGGGATGTCTGTTCAAGCTATTCTGGTCCCACTCAATTTGAAGAAACTGAAAGAGTAGTAGGTTACCTAGGACTGCAGCATCCAAGTTAATGTAAGTGAAGGCTTTGGCATGCAGCGTGGCAGAGTATCCCTAGAACAAATCAAGTATTTCATAAGATGAGCAGTGGCAGTACAACACCAGGATGTTTAAGCCACAGGAACAACTGCACAGTCATCACGCAGAGTTGTCACATGAACAGTACCTCCAGCCACTCGGTAGCACCCACAGCTCCATATTCTCCTGCACTCCAGCTCGCAAAGATGATGCTGCGCCTTGGTTTGTAGCCACCTGCAAAGAGACAGAGGTTGAGATGTCTGCCCTTCCCCCACAGAGATGCAGAGTAGCACTGCAGGCCTGGGATGATGAACTGTCTGCTCCTGAGACAGCACTGAAGCATTCTGGCTGCTGCAGACTCATGTGCACACCAGTGGCTGTATGGACACTGTACCCTGCCCCCACCATGCTGCAGAACTGTGCAGGAAAACAATGCTGTCTACACTTCCTCCGTTTTATTTAGCTGCCTGAGCCCAGAATTAATAGTGGAGACAAGCACGCTCACACTAAGTGCCACCATGCAGTCCCCACTGCTCCAGATGGTCAGACACTTCAGGGTTTTTCCACCTTCAGGCCCAGCTGTCCAACAGACAGCTCAACTTTGAGGATTGCATTGCATGTTATCCAAGGACATTCCTACATTTGAGCCATACCAGGTACAGGCAGGCAGTCCTTTGGATGCGAGTGCTCACTGCAGACAATGTCTGTATTAGACAAGCAACAGTTTCTCAAGAAGTTTTGTCAGATTCCCTGCACCTTCTAAAGAACTGTTTTGTGACTGAGCTCTCCAAGATTAACACACACTGAGCTGAACCTGCATCACCTCCCACCCTCATGCTTTTGTTCACAAATATTTACCATTTTTCACCATGTCTGAGATCACACGGGCAAGTTCCAACAATATGGCAGTGCCAACACCAGCCTTGGCCACTCCTGGGCCCCAGGAGTCTCTCTGGGCTCCGATCACAACATACCGATCTGTAAAGGAGACATCAAGATCTGAGATGCAAGCTTCAGCTTGCAAACACCATTTATTGGAAGAGCAGCTTTCAGTTTCTGCACTAGGAAGAGAGTGCATTCTGAACCCTATCATTCAGCCTTTCCGTGGCAGCACAGTTCAGCTTTCTCTTTGATCCTCAGGGAAAGGTCTGGGTTCTGCTGAGGAAATGGCTGCCAACGTTCTGATGATCACAGAAGAGGAAGGGTTCCCCTCAAGACTGAGCCACAAGGCAGCTGCCCTTACCTGGTTCCTCGAATCCCTTGACAGCACCAAAGATGTTCAGAATCTTTCTGTCCACCATAACATTGTTCACCTCCAGTTTCACTGTCATCTTGCTTGTCTTGCTCAGTGTCACCTTACATCCAAAAATCCCAGAGTTCCAGTCTGAGTGGCAGCTTTCTCCATCCATTTTGCTGAGGGAAAAAGAGAGATCCTTTGAACTCGTTATCCAGCTTCAACCTTTTTTAGCTATGCTGTGCAAAAAGCTCACCTGCAACTGCAGGTGCAACCTTGTTCAGGGCCTGCCTAGGAAATAGCTTGCAGTCCTGTACCACTAATTATGCAGGGAGGGGTAGGACGCAGAGGTCAAGAGGAATGCAACACTAGATTAAGTTCAGTCTTACAGACATGAGACATGGCCATAAGTGATATTTCTCCAGCCAGTTCCAGTACATGCTCCCTGCCACACACAGCAGAGAGCAGCAGAGAGCCCCCTGGCTCAGAGCACCTCAACACCATCCTCACTCCTACAAGAGGGCCACAGCAGCTCAGCCTGCAAGTCAGGAGAAAGTTACCTGAACAGCTTGCCTGCTGCTCGGCTAGAGATAGTCTGAACAGGAATGCGAGGTAGCCCAGAGGATTCCACTGGTGGGAACTGGGTGTGATTGAAAGAAGGAAAGCCTGGGGTGTAAGGGTCTCCAGTTCCAAGGTGGGCCTGTGAAGAGCAAGAGGAGTCATCAGGTCTCAGAGGAGTCCAACAGTTTTTAATCTACATAGGGGCATGAAGCGCTGCTGAGCCAGAGGCCTGCAGGACTGCTGCAGGTTGCAATCCACAGCAAGAAAGGTTCATGAGAACAAACAGGGGAGCCAGCTGCATACTCACATGTCCAAAGGGGGCATGTGCTTCTGTTTCCCTGTAAGTGGAGGGGTCCAGGTACATCAGGGCACCAACTGCTCCTTCCTCTCTGGCATTTGCAACCTGAAGCAAAAAGAAACATTAACTGCACATTTGCACTGCAAGCAAGGAGAGCTGAGGCAAGTACATGGAGTAATGGTGTGAAGCGTTGTGCTCCTCGATGCCCAACTCCACAACTGATTTAACAGCTACCTGACAGTGACAGATACACAAGGCAGCTGAATCCTAGCAGCTCAGTGCTGCTCCAGGCAGAGTACATCTAACGCCTCTTTGAACAGTTAGGACACTCCACAGTTAGTGCTTCACCCTATGATTCCTTCAGCTCATGCCTGCTCCTCAGAGCACCTTAGAAGAAAGATGCTATTTAATTTTGATGATGCTCCATCCGTTTTCCCAAGATGAGGTTAGTCTCAAGACAAGTGGCCACTGGAGGCTCATCTTCACAAGGACAAATGGATGCAGAGTGGCCTAGCCTGGTCCCTGTTTAATCCACGTACACCCAGCTGCCTCTGACATGCCACTGGTACAAACACTCTTACAAGGCTAGACACCAGTTTGAAGAGCAAGAAGGGGATTGGAACACCAGTGACCACACTCTGGGGAAGCACGTTTCAGCTCTGCCTGTGTCTGATGCATGTAGACAAGTCCAACTTGAATGAGTCCTATGCTCCAGCCTTCCCAGGAATACCCATCTGAGCTCTGGGTCAGATCTGGAACAAGCTTACGTACCCAAGCACTTGGATCCTTTAGGCTGCTTGCTATTCAGTTCTACTCCCTAGGGAGGAAACATCACAGCAAGATACAATGCTGCTCGCTGGGCATGCAGCACCAGCACCACCACTTGGTCCAAGTGAACTGTCAGCGAGGGCCCAGGTGAGACACTGCAGCCAAGCTTTGAAAGTATCTGACCGCAGCAGTCAAAAGTGCTCTGGAGGCAAGACTGTCAGGCTTCTAGCAGCCCTATGGCTGCATCTAGCAAGCTCTGCACACTCTGGCCCCTAGGCTGCCTCCCTCCTCCACCACTCCAGATGCCTGTCTGTCCCAGAAAGATTGCCAGAGGCCAAGAAGAATGGCACCATGAATGGTAACAAGCTCTGCTCAGCCTTGGTGTCCAGACCTGCACGTGGAGGCTTAGTGCAAACAAGCAAGACCAGACCTGCAGGAAAAAGCCTGCAAACCTAAGTTCTACAGACCTGAACCAAGACACACCTCTGTGCCGCAACAAGGAGGAAGCAGAGCTTCCTGCTGCCAAGTTTGGCCAGGCTTTGGGGCACAGACTGCTTACCTTCTCAGCAAGCGTTATTTTTCCAGCTCTGAAGATGATTATAGTTCCATTCACTGATACACCCATATCTAGTAACTTCTGAAAATCAGCTTTCAGTCCATAGTTCACATAGACTGGTTTTCCCTGGAACAGAAACACTGGTTATAAATGCAGCAGTCTTACGCCAGTAAGACACTTGAAACAGATTGCAGTAGGGAGCTGAAGCTCAGCAATGTAAACTGATCCCATGCAACATGCCTGTTAGAGCAGCACTTCTACCAAGGTTCCTGTCTGGATCCCAGCAGGAGAGTTTAAAGTTACTTCTGCATTTTGCTGAAGTAATAATACTATATGGGCCCTCTCCTCACCCCACTCTCACCACCCTTAGCTCCTTAACCGGGGAGGGCTTTATATACTCCGTATCTTGAAGGGACATATCCTGGATATTTCCATCTACTAAGTCTGCAAACACATTTCCAGAATCCTCTTGGAGTCACTTACAGTAACTGTGTCACTCTTGCTGTATGCCACATATGCATCAGGACTCTCCAGTTCCTCTTCTTCAGTATCTTCCTGAATAGACACTCTGTTGTTACTACTGGTAAATGTAAAGAGACAGTGTTATGGTCTTTCATACAAAAACTCCAGATTTGACTAACTCCCATATCTGGTCTGTGCCCTAACAATTCTGCAAGGCAACAGAGCCTCAAACAGGCAGACTCATCCCAGCACTTTCATGCAGTAATCTCTGGAGTTGTTCAGAGACATTAATGAAGGCTGATGTCTAAGACAAGTAGCAGAAAGAATCTACTTCCAAGTGTCTCAGTTACCTCCTAAGACAAGCTAAGCAAATTCATTTCCCTCTGACACCAAGGGGCAAATCAGACATGAGGGTATGAGCTGTCCAACAACACAATGCCTGTTGATACCCTCCTGAGCTACCGGAGGAGCCACTGCCAGGTGTGCAACACCTGTCTGGGGGACAAGATGGAGTGGCCCATGCTAGCTGTTTTAGACACAGTTAATCTGCTCTTCAGCTGAGTTTTCACTCAAGTTTGATTATCTCCATTTTCTAAGCATACTTTGAGGAAACAGCTGTCCCAGGAAAAACGGAGAGTGCTGTTATCAGAGCCTCTGGAATTAGAAAGCCTAAGAGACAGAAGTAGCTGTTGCTCACCTAGACTGAGGCCTTCCTTGGAGAGTAGTAACTGCCTCACAGTTTTTGCACAGTTTTAAGCAGAAATCAGGTGTTTGCTCAAGACCTCAGATATCCATGCTGTAAGGAAGAGATGTGCACCTCTTCATTAACATACCTGCCTTTGTCCTGCAGCTTAATGTAGTGCTCATCATTCCACACCTCGTCCAAGCGGAAACTGACAAACTGATCATGAATGTAGTTGGCAGTGGTCTCATCTTCAGTCTTGCCAGCTTCAAAAGATTTCTTTCCTTCTCTTTGCCTGTAGGTAACAGACGTATGTATAGCTTAGGCTACAGCACCAGGTTGCATTGCAGCCTGCAAACCCAAGTTGGATGGGACATTTAAGCCCATGTTTAACACATACCACCCCACATCATCTGTAAGGCCCTTGTTCTCCAAAGGAGCTTGAGTTCTGCTCACAGGCTGTGCCTTTCTCAAAGCTCTAAGAGCAAAGCTTTCTGGAACTGTTACCTCAGGTTGGCCTCAAGATGTGCAGTTGACAGGTTAGCTGACAACATCTTTTGGAGATCACGCCAATATAAGACACGTGGTCCAGGAACCTCTTCTTCCTCAGTTTCACCACTATCGGCTAAGTAAGATGCGGTTGGAGTCATCTCACACTTGCCACTTCCATCCAGACACCTGCTAACTTTCTGCATTCGTCCACGATAACTCAAGTAGCCGATCAGAAACCCTATAGACAGAATAGGTATTTCTTTGTGCTGCAGAAAGAAAACCCAGCCCCACACCACACAGCTTCAGGGTTAAGATGCATCTATTTCTGCTCTCACACCATTTTTGACAAGCTGGCTTACCCACGGACAGACAGAAATATGCAGTCTGACATTTTGCCTGAGCTGGCATGTTTTAAGGGCACTGTAAATCTGATCTTGTGCTTGGCAGAGTCCCTTCAGCACCACTTGGGAAGGAGAATGCTTACTTTAGGTCAGTGGCAGTGTTAAAACCCTTAAGAGACAAGCACCAGAAGCTTTACTGATCTGTTGACCCACATCTTTACAGAAGTGTTAAGAGTTAATATAGACGAAAAACCAGTAAGACTTCCACATGGACCAGTTTGCCCCCTAGCTAAGTCACAGTTCCACTGTCAAACTTCACACTTCTCTGAGCCAATACCCCAAGTCTGAGCTAGACATACTTAGTAACAAGAGGCCCTCCTGGTTCTTTAATTATCACCCAAAACAATGCAGATTCAAACGTTAACAGCCTCAGATAAATTCAATACCAGAGTCCACTTCATGAAATTGCCTCCCACCCTTCCTTACCAATCAAAAGGAGGAGGACAGCTGCAATGACCAGGAAGCAGAGGTTCTTGCCACTTCTCCGTGGAGGAGGCATGCTGGCATGCAGATGCTCTGTTCTCCCAACTTCCCCTCCTTCCTCATCATCAGCAGACAGCTTCATCTCCACGTGGCTGTTGTCGCCATCCGTTTGCCGGGCGATGCTGAAGCGCGTGTATGACATCGGCTCGCCACTAAACTGTGTTGAAAGACAGTCTACAGTCACCAGCCTACAGTCCTTGCAGCCAGCTGCCCCTATGATCCAACACAAACACATCTTGTCCACCTGCAGCTGCTGCAGTGCAGCCCCAAGTCAAGCTGGCTGTTTTAAATGCAGTTAAGACTCAGACCCACTCAGGGTCTTCACAGCCTATTCTGCATCTATTTACCCTGCAGTGGTCAGTCTAACTTGGAGTCTGTGACAGATATGACACAACAGCATTGGTATTTCCAACGCAACCCCCAGGCAAAAGCTGATTCAAGCAGAAACTCTTGTCTTAATCAGGAAAGCACAGATCTGACTTGAACATGTACAACTCACACTTTGCTGAGGACAGAGGAAAGGGAAGGCAACCCCTCCATGGTTGTGCCTTTGAGCCACATCTACTTTGACATAAATACTCTCATCCAGTATTTAAGTAATTTTGTATTAAACTACCCAAGGCTACTCTTAAATTCTATTACTGGTAGTATTACAAAGCAGCTACGCTGAAGAGAGATGACCCTCGGGAATTGTGCTGCCTCAGCTAACATGAAACTGGGGATACACATCCTGCACCCACCAGCAACTGGCACCACCTGACAGGTGTTCAGCAGTGCCCAAGCAGAGCAGCTTCCAGCCTATAGCCCACTTGTCTAAACAGGTGCAAAACACAGCCCAGCTGCCCACAGAACAGCAGCCCATGAGCAAGGCAGCCACTCCGATTAACTCAGTTCCAGGCATAGCCAGGCACTGAGCAGAACCACTCAGCTTCCATTAGAGCCGTGGAAATCGCCTGCAGCCATGGCTGTGCTGGGGAGAAGCAGGAGGCTGGCTAAATGGCCAAAGGAATAGCTCTGGGAGCAACAGTCCTGCAGCCCCACTCCACTGTACTGGGGAAACAGCTGGTGACAAGTGCCCAAGCCTTGTTACATCCTCAGCAGCTCCCCCACAGTTCTCAGCTCACTCTCACACTACACATCTGTACACAGTGTTCAAGGCTCCTCCCTCGCCTTTCTTACCAGCTTCCTGGGAGATCCCAGGCATGATAGCAGTTAACGGTAACCCCAACAGCACTGAACCACTTGAGACATTTACCATGCCCAGTCAGCTACAGTGACATTTGGCTCACAACCCACAGAGTGGCACCTAACATCGCTTTGGATTCATGACCTTCTCTGATACTGACATGGATGTTGTTGAACCTTTCTTCTGCACCAGCCCACCAAGAGAAAAATGGTACAGGGGGACCATGTCTTACCAAGTTAGAGATTGCTGCTCTGGCATGGTCCATTGCCTTCTGAAGGAGTGCCCACCAACTTCACCAAAGCCCTAGAAGTTCAGAAAAACAAGACAAGTCAGGCTGTTACCCTGATACTACAGAGCACATCCATGGTCACCCACTGCTTGCCCCATGGGCTTTATGTGCATGCTTCTACTCAAGTCACAATGTTAGCAAACCTACAACAACCTTGAATGCAATCTACATGTTTCCACTGCAAATGTAAGCTCCAATGAACAAACAGACTCTTTCCACTGAACTCCAGGAACAGCAGGGCGTGTTTAACTGAGGAGTACAGCCTCAAATGGCTAAGTTCAGCCAAGAGACTTATTCACAGTCAGGCCACCTCCACTCAGGGAGTGCTAGCAAGAGGCACAAGCTCAACTGCAACAATGGACTCCAGATATCTAAGGTTCCTTGGATCTGTCTCAATGACAGGAAGAGTCCAGCTGGTAGACATAAGTGGCACAATGCACAAATGCTTCAAAGCAGCACAAACTCCGACCCCACCAAAACACTTCTAAAGGCAACATCCCTTCTGGATGGCTACATTCTGTAGCACTTCAAGAAGGCAATTTCTGTTTTGAATAGTCTCCAAGAATCGCCAAAAGCAACTCTCTCAAAGCATTTCAGTAACTCGTATAATTCTGATTTTCTATAGACAGAAACCTTATTTGAAGGGTTAAGTCGTAATTGATTTACTTCAGTCATTTCTTCCTGAGAAAAAGCTTTTTAAGTTAGTGAGTGACTAGACAGCTTGGACTGAGACAGGTGTTTATATTGGGAGCATGCAACTGGAGTATGCCCTTAAGCAGTACCGGTAAGAAGTGGTTTTTAACTGGTCTCTTCAGGTGCATGTGGATTAGCTTTACACCTGGCACCTCTACAAGGTTCTATTTGGAGATCAAAAGTGAGCGGTGGCCTTTGCTCATTTCACCTTTTTGTTTAGGGCAAGGACACACGGAGATGAATCCCTGACGGTTTTGAAAAGCCTTTTCCAAGAGACAGCCTGAGGTACAGGCTCCCACATGGCAGGCAGGGCACAGCAGGGCTGAGCGAGCACATGCAGCGTCTCCTTAAATAGCTAACCCAGGGGAAGAGGCGGCGAAGTACAAAGGGCCTGCGCGCATCCCGCCTGGCAGGGATGCTCACCGGGAGCGCAGTGCCCCCCGAGCCCACCCCGGGCGCAGGCAACAGCCCCCAATCCCTCAGAGAAAAGGTAAAGAGCAGAGGAAGAAAAACGCAAGCCCCAAGCAGCGCGGAGGAGCAGCCGCCCCGGGGGCCGGACAGCCCCGATACGCGG